AGAGAGAGAGAGGCGCAGTGCCTTGACCAAGGTCACAAAGCAACAGAGCCACCATCAAGACAGAGGGAACCTTCACCTACACTCCTCCCAGAGGTGCTCAGCCTCCACCACAGGGCTGGGCTGCTACATACCATTCATACTCCCTCCTCCTTGCTGAGTCAATGCTGCCCTCCCCGCCCAAGACCTAAAAGGTCAGGAAGGTAGGGTGGGGCAAGGGAGGAAGTCAAAGCTGGGGGAAAAAGGAGGCGGAAACCCCACCATGGGGGTGTGGTGTGGTGGGGTGTTGTGGTGGTGGAGGGGGGCCCACTCAGAGCAGAGGCCTGCTCCTGGGCTCCCTCTGGTGGGCAAGGGGCAGAGCAGGAAGCCAGGGAGGAGACAGTAGGGCTGAGTCAACACATCTTTATTAAACACCTGCAGTTACTGGGAGGAGGCCATGATGCTGGACACACCTGTAGGGAAGGAGAGACCAGAGTGAAGGTGAGAAGGGCAGGAGACAAATCTCCAGCTACCTGCTACAGCACCCACAGTTCTTTAGGGGGAGATCACAAACTCCTTCCAGGCCCCGGTTACCATCACAAAAGCAGCTTGGTGCAGTATTTTAAAAACATGGACTCTGGAGCAAGAAGGGCTAGGTTCGAATCCCTGCTCTGCCAATTAACAGCTGGGTCACTTGGACAAGTTACTGAGCATCTCTGAGCATCACCTTCCTATCTTTAAGGAGCACCTACCCTATAGGATTGTAGGACCAAACGAGGTGCTGAGAACAAAGTGCCAAGGAAGAGTTGTTTGTAATTACCTACATGATAATAATATTTACTATGTACTATTTGCAGGATACTCAAGGTTTTTTTTTGAGACAAGAATCTCATTCTGTTGCCCAGGGTGGAGTGCGGTGGAGCGATCTCGGCTCATTGCAACCTCCACCTTCTGGGTTCAAGCGATTCTCCTGCCTCAGTCTCCCAAGTATTTTGAACCTATCCTGTTGGACCCAGGACACAGAGCAATGGAGCCAGGACTGAGACAGAGGGAATCCTCCCGTCTACTCCCCCAGCAGGGCTGGGCTCCTACATCCCTAAGATTCACACCTTCCTCCTCCTCTTCCTTGTTGACTCAGCACTGCCCTCTCCACCCGTGACCTAAAAGGTCAGGAAGGTGGGGTGGGGTGACAGAAGCCAAAGGGGAGGAAAAAGGAGGCCCTTTCCTCACTACACAATCTTTTGCTGGAGTTCTCACCGAGAACCCTGACACAGCAGTCACATGGCATTTAGAGGTGAGATACCACGGGCCGTAAGTGCACAGATGGCTGCCTGCTCAATGCTGTTCCCCAGTTAAGTACAAAATTAGCTGGTTTGTGTTAAGAAGCCATGTTGTACCAAATACATCTTTAAAACACCTGATTCACACTCAAGAGGGTGGGGGAGACCTGGGATGAAGGGAGCGGCCCGCCCATGCCTTTCTCCCCGGCTCCAGGATATCTGCTCGGTGCCCCGATGAGCGGCAGTGAAGCA